TTTCAACTTGATATCCGGAACTAATTTCCCCACCTACTTTAACTCTAATATTCCTTTCGGTTAAGAAATTTTTAATCCATCTATAAATCTTACCCTTTATACCTATTTGCTTTAGTTTAACCAACAACCCTTCTTTCCACAGCATGTCATAAGCCTTTTCCACATCCAAGAAAACCGCTATCACACTCTCTTTATTAATCTGGGCCCGTCTAATTTCATGTTCCAGACACAATGCTGGATCAATTGTACTTCTGCCTTTCCTAAAACCAAACTGATAGTCTTTAATTTTCCCCTTAGACTCTAAGAAATAGATTAACCTGTTATTTACCATTTTTTCCATAACTTTGCCTAAACACGATGTTAGGGCTATAGGTCTGTAACTTTCAACTGAATTTGGATCTTTTCCAGGTTTACGAATAGGAATTATAATAGCTTCTTTCCATTTATCAGGCACTATTCCTTCCTCCCATACTTTATTATACAATTTTAGAATTATCTCTTTACTCACATCACTAAGATGATCTAACATATTATAAGTAATTTGATCACTACCAGGAGTTGATTTATTAGAATTCTTCAGTACTCTATTCAATTCAAACAAAGAAAACTTCATATTAATAAAATCATCATATTCTTCATCACTATCTATCAAATCAATATTTCCCTGTAGAGTATTTTCACATCCTAATTTTTCTTTAGCATTTAGATTTTCTGTACTATGTACCTTTGCAAATGTTTTTACTAATACCTCAGCCTTATTTTTATTATCTATTATAATATTTCCGTCATATTTAATTAATGGGAAGAAAACCTCTTTTGAGTTCCCAGACATTTTCCTAATAGAATTCCAAACCCTGTCTAATGCTGTGTTTTTCCCCAAGGATTCACAATATCTCCTCCAGTATTCTCTTTTAGCATTTCTTATTGTTCTCCTGACTTCTGCCTGCTTTCTTTTATAATTTATATGATTTTGGACACAAATTATTTTCTTAAATGTTTTAAAAGCCTTATTTCTTTGTTTAATTGCTATTGAACATTCTGGTGTCCACCACGGAACTATCTTCTTTTTTCTATTACCATTACTTCTAGGAATACATAATTTGGCTGAGCTAATTATACATTTGCTAATTTCTAAATTTAACTCATTTACTGGTTTATTTATATCTACATTTTCCATACTAACCTCATTCATCATTTCAAATTTACTCCAATCTGCTGTCCCAAATTTCCACCTCCCTTCAACTTTTTCCTGGTCCTGCTTAGTATTTATACCTATATTCACAAAAATTGGATAATGATCACTCCCCATTGTGTTTTCCTTAAATACTGTCCATCTGCATAAACTAGCAATGGATCGAGATACCAAGGTCAGATCTATAGCAGATTCTTTACCCCTTACAAAGTCCACCCTAGTGCCCACTCCATTATTTAACACAACCAATTCTTCTTCTTCAATCAATTCTTCTACAATTCCTCCATTATAATCATCTTGATCTCCCCATAAAGTGCTATGTGCATTAAAATCCCCACACCAAACTATTTTCCCTCTCCAGTTTTGTAAGATTGTGTTTAGCTTTAATTTTTCTAATTGTTTACAAGGATTATAGAAATTTATTATTTTAGTGTTCCCCTCGTTTGTCCAAATTTCAACAGCAGTAAGTTCTAATTCTGATTCTACTTGTATTTGAATACATTTTATATGATCTTTTACAAATATACCACAACCTCCTCCATTCCCATTTAACCTGTCTTTACGTAAAAATGAGTATCCATGAATACTAAACTGTAATGATGGCTTGAGCCATGTTTCTTGAATACACATTATATCAGGTTTTGGATTTAAATTATTAATGAAGCCTTTAAATTCCTGACCATTTGCTATTAGACTGCGAGCGTTCCATTGTAATATGAGAATTATGTGATGGTTTGAGATGCCTCAAATTCAGACGATCCTTCACCCTGCCTCAG